AGAAGTGAGAGAGCTCTGATGGCCTAGTGGGTAAAGACTTGTGCAAAGGCAAGTGGTTCAAATCCACTGGCTGGTTCAAGAGAGAAAGGTAGACAGTCTCTTCCAGTGTGATTTTAAAGTCTCTGAAAACCCATTGGAGGGTCAGCTATGAACCTGTTCTGTTTCAATAACATATAACAACAACATAAGGAAGTGAAGAAACTCTTAGTAAGTGCATATCAGGTTGCTAACTCAAATATTAGTTTGACTTCACCAAGGGAAGGGAAGATTATCTTGGAAAAATTTACACTCAGAGACCAGATATAAGGTTGCCATGCTTTAAAATCGACTGAACAGAGTAGACATTAAAGAGAGGGGAAAGGAGATGACAGTGGCTTGAACTAAAGGTGTAAACAGTAAACGGGATGAAAAATGGTGGGCTCTGGATTTATTCTGACAATTGAAGTGACAAAGTAGTCTGTTATATCATATTAGATTATGAGAAAAAGAGAAGACTCAAAGTAAGTCTAAGTTTTAACCTGATAAAATATATGGTTGTATAGGACTGTGTACTGAGAGGAAACAGATTTAGGTAGATAGAACCTAGATGTTTGATTTGAGCTGTATTATAACTATAATGTCTACTATTGTTGCTGTTGTTGTCAATTATTGCCTTCAAGTCAGCACAATAATACTGACCCTATGAACAAAAGGCCTGAAGTCCCTCTACAACTATCAACATTTATCAGAGTTCCTAGTTTCTGGAGGCATATTGTTTAGGAAGTAGATGCCACTCCTGCTTCCAAACCTGTCATAGTATGTTATTGTTGTTATGTGCCATTGAATCACCTGCAATGCATAGCAACCAGATGTACAGCAGCTCTGAACCCTTCCCTGTCCTGAGCCAGTCTCTCTAATTCTGACACACTAATCCCCGTTGCCCCAGTCACTGTATCAATCCATCTCATCCAGAGTCCTCCTCTCCTGTGCTGTTCGTCCACCTTTGAAGCATGATGTCCTCCTCTACAGACTGACCTCTCCTGGCCACGTGCCCAATATAAATGAGGCAGAGCTTCAAGATCCTAGCTTACGAGGAGAGATTTGGTTTCACCCTCTCCACAATACAGTGTTCCATGATATGTTCAAGACTCTTCTCCAGCACTACAACTTGAAAGCATCTGTTCTTCTTCTGTCATTCTTAGTCATTCTTCAACTCTCTGAAGCATAACAAGTAACTGAGAAAACCATGGCCTGGATTAGGCTCACCTTTGTATCTAGACCGACATCGTTGCTCTTCAGCACTCTGGAGAGGTCCATGACAGCAGATTTTTCCAGTACAATTCATTTTTTGATAACCTGACTGCTGGTGTTAAGAGCGTTGATTGTGGATCTCAACAAGCTGTTGTTGCTAACAACCTCAATTTCTTCTCCATGAAATATGGTGCTGCCAATAGGCCCAGTGATAAGAATCTTTGTCTTCTTGATGTTGAGCTTCAATTCATATTGAAGACTACAGTCCTTGAACTTTGCAGCAAGTACTACTATAGCTTTTAAGTAATCAGCTAAAAAGAAAATGCCGGATTTTAAGGGGAAGTTCCAAAATGGAGTAATAAATGTAGAAAAGAAAGGCATGTACTGAAAACCTCAATTCATTACTGTTGATTTGGAACTCAGCTAACCTTCCAGTGGGTTTTCAGAGACTGTAAAACAGATGCAAGGAGATTGTTCCTTTTTCACTTTGGAGCAGTTGATAGTTTCAAACCACCTTCCTTTAGATTGGCAGCACTACTACTTACCCACTATGCTGCCTTACCCAGTTAAGCCTTCGGAGCTCCCCAAAGATGGATAAGATTACTGAGGAAGTAGTGGAGAAAGAAAAGAGCAAAAGTCTAGAAATTAAAAATTAATTTCAGGGAATGCTCCTGTTAAGAGATAGGGAGAAGAGAGAACAAACAGGTAAACCAAGAAGTTGAAATGCAGGTGAAATGCCTTCATTAATAACAACTTTCTTTAAGAAGACATGTGCATTTATATAGACTGTAACCCAAAGGCACAAAGTTCAAATCCACCAGCTGCTCCAGGGAAAAAGAATAGCAGTCACCTCTTCTGCGATTTACTGCCTCTGAAAACCTGCTGGAGATTCTGTATGGGTTGATTCTGACTCGGCAATACATAATATCAACAATAACAACAACAATGATTCCAAGTGATTATTTTTTTTTTACTTTTTGTAGGATTCATCTGGACAGTTTTCAGGAGAACTAACATGTGTCTGATTCAGGCCATCGTCCTTCCAATTACTTGTTATGAATCTTAGAGCTGGAAAATGAATAACAATGACAGAATTAATGCCTTTGAACGATGGTGTTGGAGAATAGTACTGAACATCCCATGGATAGACAAAAGAACTAATAGATAAGTCCTAGAGAAAGTGCAGCCAGAGTGCTCTTTGGAGGCAAAGATGGTGAAGCTTCACACTACACACTTCAGGTATGTTGTTAGGAGGGGATATTTCTTGGAGAGGGATATGATGCTCACAAAGGTAGAAAGATCAGGAGGAAGGAGAAGAAGACCCTCACCACGTGGATTGACACTGTGACTGCCATAATGGACTCTAGTGTGTCAGGAAGTGTGAAGATGTCAGGACAGGACAGAGTTCAGATTTGTTGTTCATAAGGTCGCTGTGAGTTATACTCAATGATACCTAAAAACAACAACAACAACAACAACAACAACATCTAGACAATTGCCACTTGTCCTTTATAGGACATAAATCTTTCACTTTAGCTCTTGCTTACTATTCCTCTCCCTTGAAGCCTGTATCACATATTTTTTTAAAATATTCTTATTGCTTGTATAACTTCATCTGAGTGTAAAATGCATTTGTGAAAACTGTCAAGAGTAATTTGGGAATTCATCTGGTAAATAAAATGGATGACCAAGTTGGTTAATATTGCTTTTGATCAAAAGTTAGCCATGGCCATACAGCAATATCACCAGTTTACTGTGTGGTTTATATGCAGAATCTAAAAGCAAATTCAATAACCGTAGCCTAAAGTGCTCAGAGTAATGATGACCCTCCAAGAATAAATATGCCATTTCTAAGATAATTATTTTCATATATTATAGTAAATATCCGATATATATTTATATGACATATAATCTCCATATATATTCTGTATATTCTATATATTCATATATTCTGTCCTACCAATCAATGATATTTCTTAGTAAGTTATTTCTTCAGACTTTATTAACAGTATAGATACTTAAAGTTCATGGGTATGATTATAATCATAAATGATAACCAACTGAGTCTTCATTTCCTAGTCTGAAGTTTTCTTAAATAAATGTCATTCTAACTTAATTATATTATGAAAAGGGGAGTGAATGACAACACTTTTAATAAAAAAAAGGTTCTACAAATTAAAATTTTAAATATTTTTCTCAGCTATTACAAAATATCTTGATTGAGAATACTAATACAGGTGCACAAATATGGCTATCTGGGTAATTAATTGTATATTTGGTTAATTAATACTCCGTTTGTAACCAATAATTTACGGGACAATTCAGTCAACTATTTGCTCACTAGGAAACATTGATTGCCTAGTGGGTAAGGAGTTGAGCAGCCAACTTAGAGGAAGGTATTTAGAACCCACCCGCTGTTCTGAGGGAGAAAGATAGGTAACCTGTGTGATTTATAGCCTCTGAAAACTCTTTAGAGGGTTAAGTACAAGTTCGCTCTGATTTTAAGACAATGAGCTTTTGAGATGTGTTCAGTTAGTTCTAGTATGTCCTAGATGCACATCCATTTAGCGAACTGGCTCCTTTACATTCTTTCAATGGCACAAAGCCAGAATAGTGCTACTGACTTTCCTCACACCAGTGCTTTGTTTTTTGTTTTTTTTTTTTCCGGATGATTTTGTGTGTGAGGTGATCAAGTGGTAAAACTCAACTGCCAGCCAAAAGATCAGTAGACTCCACTCATCAGCTGGTCAAGGGAAGTATGTGGCAATTTGCTTCCCAAATATTTACAGCCTCACAAATGCTAGGGGGCAGTTACACTGTGGCCAATAGGGTTGCTATGAGTTGGAATCAACTTGATAGCAGTTGGTGTAGTTTTTGGTTTGAGATAGAGCTACAAGGTGGCTCTAGTGGCATAGTCCATAGAGAGGTGTGCTGCTAATCTTCAGTCAATGCCTCTCTGGCATTTCAAATTTACCAACAGATCTAAGAGGACAGATCCAAGGGAGAAAGATTTCCAGTCTCCTCTTTGTGATTTAGTCTCTCAAAATCCACCGGAGGGTCTGACTCAATGGCAATGAGTAAGTGAGTGAGTGGTCTCAGATCATTATAACTTATTCTGTGACATAGTAAGCTTCCACTTCTAATTAACAATGATGCCTGGTTATCATCCTTACTTCTGACTCATCTTGTTCCTGACTCATCCTTGGGAAGGAATGGGGCATGATCAGAAAAAGGAACTTTAGTCTTTTTCAAGAGTGGTTGTTCAAGGGATTAAAAGAAGATATTTTGTCCTCAAAAATTTTTGAAATGTATATTTCATCATTTATGGTGATGTAATTTATGGTGATATAAACTCAAAGTGCAATGAAAATCCAGCTTCACAGAGAAGGTGGTGAGACACCCCCCAAAATGAGTTAATTATCTAAAAAATTCAGCATGAAGCCATAAAAGTCAGCTCTTGGGACCCAGTTATTTTATTTAGCACTTGATCCTTTAGCTATCCCTATGCATCAGAAATTTTTCATTATTTTTTGCCTGTGACATTTTATTTTTAATAAAATCCCTTTTTTTACCCTAGTTTTTTTCCCCTGTTACTTATTTTTATAGTTTTTACCCCAAGGATCACCATCATACCAAGACCAAAACATAGTAATTGGCTCATTGATTCTCATTTAAACTTGGTCCCTAGACACATTCCTCCTACTAATGTTGACATTAATTTCCTGAAGCAGGCAAGTTTGCATATTTCTTATTATACATAATAAACTTACAATGTTTTTCATGTGTTTCACTAGTATTGTCAGCTTTCTATCCTCATATGAAATAACCAACTGCACTGTAGGCTTCTCGTCAGCAAACTTCTCACCTGAAAAATACAGAATTTCATTCAGTAAGTTAAATTGGAAGTGATTTATCACAGAGGAAATTAAACCTTTAAAAGACTAACACAGGACTAATGGACAATATGCCAAAGAGACATTCTTAATATAATGCTGAAATTATAATACACTTCAGGAGACAGGGTTGTTTAGATAAAGGTGAGGTTAGTCTCAAATATTCCTGAACTAGCTCTTCCTTGCTTTGGTTTTTTGACTGATGTCATTATCTTCACAGTTACTTAAGCTTGAAACCCCAGCAGTATATTTTACTCCAATTTTCTCTTTAAAGTTCACTCTGATAAACTAAAAATATTAGAACACAAAATTTAAAAAGTGGTTTTAGAAGTTATCAAGTTTGGAGTTCAACTCCTGGCACTGCCACTTATTACTGTCCTCGAGAATAACCCAATCAATACTTTGTAAAATGGAGATAACAGTTACTTACTACTGCATTGCCTACTCAGAGGTTTGAGATTCAAACCCATCAACTGCTCCATGGGAGAAAGATGGGTAACATCCTCCTGTGCGATTAACTGTCTCTCAAAACTCACTGGAAGGTCAGCTCTAACTAGATGGTACATACCAAGAACAATAACTACAGGATAATTGAGATGATTGTTGTTGTTAAATGTTGTTGAATAGAGTACACTTACTGAAGGTATTGACAAAAAATAAGACTCTAAGAATTTATGAATATCAATTGAAATATTTCAAATGACAAATTTAGCATGGATGTGCTCACCAGTCTATGCTAGGAAATAAGTTTCCATTTCCAAGAAGGGTTATTTTTTTAAAATGTGGAAATTATAGAACAATATCTACATAGATAGCAAACTGACAGTTCAAGTTTGGTTTAGAATAGGTTGTGAAATCAAGGATATCATTGCTAATGTCAGATGGATCCTTGCTGAAAGAAAGAATATCAGAAGAACATTTATTTGTGCTTTATGGACTATGCAAAGGCATTTGACTATATAGATCATTAAAAAATTATGGCTAACAATGAGAACAATTCCAGAGTACTTAATTTTGCTCCTGTAAATTCTCTACCTAGACTAAGAGGCTGTTGTATGAACAAAGCAAGGAAACACTGTATGCTTAAAAGTAGGAAAGGTGTGAGTCAGAGTTGCAGCCTCTCTTCAGTGGAGATATTGTTGTTATGTGCCTTTGACTTTCCTGTAACTCATAGCAACCCTAAGTACAACAGCTCTGAAGCCTGACCTGTTCTAAGCCAGTCTCAGTGACTCTGATACACTTCCTCTCACTGGCCTAGTTACTGTATTAATCCATCTTATGTGGGGTCTTCCACTTTTGTTTTGTCCCTCCACCCTTCCAAACATGATGTCCTTCTCCAAAGATCAGTCCATCCTGGCCTCATGCCCAAAGTATGTGAGACAAAGCTTCAAAAGCCTATCCAGCAAGGAGAAACTTGGTTTTAATCTCTCCATGACAACCTATTTGGGTCTTCTGTCATTCTTAGTCATTAACCAGCTCTCCGATACGTAGCAGTTTACTGCAAAGACTATAGCCTATGTGATAATGGTTACCCATGGTGAACAGTGGTGGAGATCCCTGATTAAAAGAAGCTTGGAAGCAAGAGTGGGATCCATTTCCAAAATAGCTTGCCTCTGGAAACTCTATGGACTTGGAGAAATGTTATACAAGTGTTCAAGTCTTTCGTTCATAGGGTTGCTATGAGTCATCCATGATTCGATGACACTTAATAACAACATGGCCTAGATCAGGTGCACTTTCATCTCTAGACTGACATTGTTGCTTCTCAATACTCTGGAAAGTTCTCTGACAGCAGATTTACCTCATGCAATTCATCTTTTTACTTCCTGACTACTGGTGCCAAGACTGTTAATTGTGGAGCCAACCAAGCTGGAACTGTTTACAACCTCCATCTCTTCTTCATCCATTATGGTGCTGCCAATTAACCCAGTGGTGAGAATCTTTGTCTTCTTGATGTTGAGCTTCAATCCATATTGAAGACTACAGTTCTTGACCTTAAATTTCAGCAAGCCAGGTTGTGTGTTCTGCATAACATAGATTGTTGATGAGTCTTCCTCCAATCCTGATGTCACATTCCTCATAAAGTCCAACATCCCGAATGATATCTTCTGCATATAGATTGGAAGGTATGGAGACAGGACACATCTCTAACCTACTTCCTTCTTGATTTTGAACCATGCAATATTTCTCTGCTCTGTTCTGAGGATTGCCTCTTGGTCCAAGTATAGGTTTCACATAAGCACAATCAAGTGTTCTGGGATTACCATTCTCCTCAAGCTTTACTACGATTTGTTGTGATCCACACAGTGAAATGCCTTTGTATAGTCAATGGAACACTGATAGATATCCTTCTCATTCTCTTTGCTTTCTACCAAGATCCAGTTCCCCTCGACAATAGTGTCGCTAGTGCTACTACTTCTTCTAAACCTCTCTTGTATTTCTGGTAGTTCTCTGTCAATGAACTGTTCCAGTTGTTTCTAGATAATCTTCAGCAGGATTTTTCTGGTGTGTAATATGAGTGATATTGTGCAATAATTTCCACACTCTGTTGGGTCATCTTTTTTTTTTTAAAGGAGAATAAATATGGTTCTCTTCCAGTCAGTTGGTCAGGTAGTTGTCCTCCAAACTCCTTGGCATAACCTGGTGATCATGTCCACAGCTCTACTTGTTGAAATATGTCAGTTAGTGTTCCATCAATTCCTGGGGATTTATTTTTTTGCCAAGTCTTTCAGTTCAGCCTGCACTTCCTCCTTCATGACCATTGCCTCTTGATCATATATTGTTTCTTGAAATTCTTCTGTGTCAACCAATTCTTTTTGGTACAGTGACTCTGAATTCTCCTTCCATCTTCTTTTAATGCTTCCTGGAACATTCAATATACTGTCCATAGAATCCTTAAGTATTACAACTCAAGGCTTGAATGTGTTCTTTAGCTCCTTTAGCTTAAGAAATATCATGAGTTCAGCCTTTTTGGTTTTATGACTCTAGCTCCCTGCACATTTCATTATAATACTTTGTCTTGTCTTCCCTTGCTGCCCTTTGAAATCTTCTATTCAGCCCCTTAATTTCTTGATTTCTTCCCTTTGCTTTGGCTTCTTGACACTCTAGTGCAATTTTAAGTGTCTCTTCTGACATCAATTTTGGTCTTCTGGTCTC